CATATCACTAAAAGAAAATGTTCGAGAAAAGACCATTTTTCAGGATGATACATTAATGTACATGCTTGGTGGAACAGTATTTATGTCACTTCTGTGCAACATTCCTGCTGCTATTAATTTATTACTAATAGATGAGGTAGTCGAATGGATCTATCAAAAAGAGTTAGAATTTTTCAACTTTTTGTCATTTCAGACGCTTAAACGGCGACTGGACTATCAAATATTTCGAGCAGTCGCAAATATCCTTGAAATAACGAACCATGCTTCGCAATTTTACGTGTTCTGCGCATGCTCGACTGACTATAGGACGACATTCCTGCAGAAGTTTCCATGTTTCAAGAAAACGTATGCAAATCGCTCACGATTGAGATCATTTGTGAAGCGGACCCAGTCAGCTATAACAAGAGAGAAAGATAGCTCGGATCAACCAACGTCAAGTCCTAAGGTATAGAATAGATCAACAATTTTTGTGGGGAAAAATTTTTTTGGTTTTAGGCGGCTGATTCGCATCATTCAAAAGCCTCTCGAAATCCAGTAGAACCAGAAACTGTTGATGTCCATTTGGCATCCGGAGAAGAGAGTCTAAGCGACGGAAGGGAGTCCGACTCCTTGATTAAGTACGGCGCTGTCGCCAAACTCTCAACCGACACTAATGGTAGTACTTTCTTGTAGACGCAGCTTAGGTTAGGCCCTGCAATTGCTATAAACTTCCGCATTATAACCTTATTCCGTTGTTGTTCATTCAATTTTACGCAAAAATATCTTATGCTCTGTAGGCAATCAATTCTGATATTTCTAATGTTATGGGTATTTAAAATATTTAGAATTGTGAGAGTGTTGCAGCTTTCAACAACTAGATTTAGTGCCTGTAACACTCTCGGCTAACTTCGTACAAATGGAAACGACAAAACATGGATGCGATGAACGGAAGCTCTCGCTGTCTCGTAAATGTGATACGTACAACACATTCGGATTTTCCGAATTCGGCAATTGCAAAACCGTGACCGTTTCCAGATAGAGCGTAGCTAGGAATTTAAGCAATCTCTCCAAATTTTGGAGAATTCTCATCTCAACGTTATAAAGTTGCTCTTTCTGCCGCGGGTAACCGCAACCTCTTTGTTTATTTGGTTGATTTGTTGTTTTTTACTTATTCTTGATCTCAAATTTTGAAATGTATCGGTGCCATTGTCAAACAACACTTTTACCCGGTGATCAGCTCATGAATGAAAGCTTTATTGTGATATGACATTATGTATATGCACATGATAAAAAGTTTCTCAACGAATTTGAGTAATTCATTGTGTCTGTTGTAATCCAGCTCTACCATTTTATTCATCTCCGCTTTCACCTTTCATCTTTTTTTTTT